GCAGGTGAGTGATAACTTAACATTCAATTAATGCTATTTTGAGCACTTAAAAAACATATAAATACAGATCAACCTCATTTATTTTATTGTGGATTAATGGTAGTAAATCAGTAGTAATAAATGTTTATTTAAATATTGGTATTCCCCTATTACTCAGGACTATTTATATCATCTCCTTTCTAATTTGAAGCTTGGACGGAGCTCAGTATCTTTTTAAATATTGGCCATTCAGTTTGAATAGATAAAGTATTTTTGCAGTTAGAAAAAAGAAAACCCACATCATATAGCACAAAGAATCTTGAACTGAAAATTAGAAGATAGAAGTTCTGCCTTAGGGCAGTGAGCATGGGCTCTGGAATCACGTGGACCCTGGATTTCTGTTCTGCCTGTTGACTAATTGTATGCCTGCAAGTTCTCTAAGGTTTAGAACCACATTTGTGAAAATAAGTTTATTAATTACTAGTTTTCCATTGTTTTGAGTTTTAAATGTGCTACTATATATGAAAACATACGGTTTGAAAGCTATATACACTCATTTCCTTCCTAATTTCAGGTTTATCATGTGTTCTGTGACTGAGCAAATCCCTTTACTTCTTTGAATCTTGTTTTTTCTCTGTTAAAAAATAAGATTAAAACTCGATTTTCTTAAAGATCAGTGTTTTTGTGATTTTCAATATCTAAGTTTTAAGACTTCTGCCTTGCCCCTCCTGCTTGATCACAGATAATAAAGAATTGACTGCATTTTGTTTTCATGCTTAAATTTATGGGATTTTATGATTAGAAGTAACTTTTCATGAAATATAGACTAGTATTTTCCAAAGTTGTGAGATAATACTTTAAAAAGTGTTCTGTGGTCAAAAACATTTGGGAAATGCTAAGTGAAATAAAACAGATTTCTCCACTAAAAGCCTTTCTCAGGGAAATTTATACCATAAGTTTCTAAAAGGGAGATGACTGTTCAGCATTTGCCCTCGAATATTTGACCCTCGAATCTCCCCCCCGCCACCCGCCCCTTAGAAAGTCTCTTAGGTCTAGAACTTCGTATAATATGCTTTGGGAAATGCCGATTTGAACTATTTGCTTTATCACACGTCTTTGCATCCTAGAATGATAGTTGTCTACATTATTCTTAAGCCTAAAGAGAAGATTTCACCAGCTCATTTAGTAAATTATTTTATTGTTTTATATCTTTATTAATTTGTATATTTGTATATATATCTATATTAATTTGTAGTATTGTAACATCAGAATAATGTAGGGTTTGCTTGTAGTTGCTTTTATAAATTTTCTGATAAATGTATCTGGAATACTGATCTCTGTGCAAGAAAACTTTTGGTAAGTTTCATTTAGGGATGCCTTAATTGTTTAAGTAACCTCAGGGAGTTTTGCTATCCTTAACTACTTAAAGCTTTGCTACTCAAAGTATGATCAAGAGACCAATGGTCAGCAAATTGTTACTAGTTTGCAAATTGTTTGTTAGGTTAATAACAAAAAGGAGTTTCTGTAAGAATGTAAATTAACTGTATCATTAAGTACAAAGTTTAGCTCAATTGGCATCTTGCTTCAAGCAAGACTTTCTCGACTTAGTAGCAGCATTGACTTATATTCTGGTGCAAGCTCCTTATCTCTTTGTAGGCAGTAACAAACAGTTCTTGGATTGGCACTTTGAGTACATGGAATCTACAGTCTTTGATATGGTTCCAAGAAACTCTCCAGAGAATCAAAGAAAAGTAAAAGGTAGTATTCAGGTAATAGCAGCATTGTAAAAGCAACAGTGATAGTTATATACAAGAGTACTTCAAAAAGTTCTTGGAAAGATTCGTATTATCTTTCTGTTTTTCCAAAAAAATTCTGTTTTTCCATAAACTGTTTGAACGACCTTTGTAAACCCTTGCAATAATGCCTTTCTAATCTTAATTCTTTAAAATAAGATTGAGGAAGATAAACTAGTCCTTCTAACTTATTTTGAAATTCTGCAGTGCTTTCATTTTACTGAAAATTGACAGGCTCAGTATTAGGTGGATTTTATACTGAATTAATGAATGCTGGCTTTTAAATTTATACCTATTAATTGAAGAATTGGGGGTATCTTTTCATAAAAACTAATTAAAGAATGTTGCGTAATATGTAGTTTTTTAGATTGGCACTTTGCCACCCTAAGGAAATTTTATGTTTTAAAATGTCAGTATTTCATCATTTAAAACAAAGCTGATCAAACAATAAAGTAAAAAAAAGTAACACCAGCATATTTATAGTTCTGCTTATTGCCTATTAGGCAAATAAAAAGTAAACATTTATTGATTCATTCATTAACACTTTTGACTACCCACTATGTGTTAGCAGTTAGTTGATATATAAAATGGTGGAGACATAAAAATCCTTGGCTGCAGGAAATTTGCAGTTTAGTTGTAAACAAGATGTTTAATAAGGCATGCTGATATAGCAATATGTTCAAGAGTTTTGGGCTCACAGCAGATAGAATAACTAACTTTGATTCCAGGAATTAGAGAAAGCTATACAGAAAGTTGAAATGTGAGCTGGATTTTGAAGGATGAGTTTAGCAAGTAGATAAGAAAGAAAGGGCATTAATGGAAGAGAAAACAGCATGTGTCAACTACGTGATAAAGGTATGGTGTGGTGAATGTAGGACTGAACAGCTTGACGGTGTTAGAAACTGTAGTATATGGGTGTGAGCCGGGCAGGGAAAATAGTAATGATAAAACAGATATGGTAGTTTGACCCCAAGGCATGCTGATATAGCAATATGTTCAAGAGTTTTGGGCTCACAGCAGATAGAATAACTAACTTTGATTCCAGGAATTAGAGAAAGCTATACAAAAAGTTGAAATGTGAGCTGGATTTTGAAGGATGAGTTTAGCAAGTAGATAAGAAAGAAAGGGCATTAATGGAAGAGAAAACAGCTTGTGTCAACTACGTGATAAAGGTATGGTGTGGTGAATGTAGGACTGAACAGCTTGATGGTGTTAGAAACTGTAGTATATGGGTGTGAGCCGGGCAGGGAAAATAGTAATGATAAAACAGATATGGTAGTTTGACCCAGATTGTAGCAGGTCTTGTGGGACTTCAGTAAGGCTTTTGTAGTTTTTAACCAGGGAATGGCATAATCAGATTTGCACTTGTGAGTGGGCATTTTGAGAGTCTGGGCAATAGATTGAGTTGAGAGAGACAGATGGTTGGAATTTCAATTTAGGAAGCACTTACAATGGCCTAGGCAAGAGATGTTAAGGATCTGAAATAATGCAGCGGCACTGGGAATATTTCTGGAAGAAAGAAAGGTGGGTACATGATGGAAAAGAATGATAGATTTGAAAGCGATTTGTAAAGAAGCTAAACTCAAAAGAATTTGGTGACTGATTAAATGTGTGTGGAAGAAAGAAAGGTGGGTACATGATGGAAAAGAATGATAGATTTGAAAGCGATTTGTAAAGAAACTAAACTCAAAAGAATTTGGTGACTGGTTAAATGTGTGTGTGGGGGAGTTTAAATGATTTTCAAGTTTTTCTCTTGATAAACTGGATTGATGATAGAACTATTATAACAGATAGGAAATGGAGAACACTGTTTAGTTGGGAGGAAAGGGAGGAAATAAGTTAACTTTAATGTGCTTCCTGGCTGACTGAGTGAAGATGTCTAACAGGTGCTGGAATTAAATATTTGTAATTTAGAGAGGTCTAGATAGATATATAGATTTTCAGTAATTAGAAAAGGCAGTGATTGAAGTCATTCGACTTGAGATTTCCCTAGAGAGCTAGAAGAAAAGATTGAAGCATAGAGATGTAAGTCCGACAAGGAAACTGGAAGTATTGTTCGTAGATGTAAAAGGAGAACAAGGAGATTGAGGGGTGTCACAAAATTCAAAGCAGAAGAGTTTCAAGAAGGAGAGGCCAGGTAGAGTGAAGTCATTGAATTTTATATTTAGGAGATAATCTGTGACATTGTTGAGCAGATTAAATGAAGAGGAGTGGGAGTTAGAGGGGGCAGCTGGTAGGCCACAGAAAATTGAGGGAGGGCTTTTTTGGTCTCTGTTGTTCATAGTTTAAAGATGGGAGACAATTTAGATTGTTTACCTAGCCAAGGGAAAGGAGCCAGTGGAAATGAAAGACATAATGGAGTGAGTAGACAATCCATGGAACAGTTCCTATCGAAGGAGATAGGATCGAGAATAAAGATGAAGAGATAAACCTTGGAGACAACTCTGCAAGGTAAGAGATGTTTGGTCCCGATATGGGTAAGATTTCAATGAGTTTGGAGTTGGAAAGGAATAAAGTTTTGGGGAGCATATGTTTGATGGAAGATGTAAATTTTCTCGAAATGACAGTCAGTCTTAAACTGAAAATGAAAAAGGAAGCCAGCATGTTTTAGGTATAATCTGTTCCCTTTTCTTCTTGTATCCTATTTATTAGTCACCACTTCCCAAGACACAGTTATGTAGATACTATTCTTGAACTTTTCCTCCAGTCCTGACTTCTAATACTTTTAAAGGCTGACACTAATCCTGACTGAAAAGAAAGAGAAGAAATGGAAAAATTATTACAGCCCCATAAAACTCTTTCCAGAACTCTTTCTTATCTAATGCAACCTAGTAGAATGTCAAAAGGATATCTTTTTTGTTACACCGTGGGAGTGACATACAATGTGATCTAGTGATCTGGTCCAAATGATTCTCTAGTATTCCCAACATTATTTATGAATTATTTTTACAAATTGACTTGTTTATCTGCCTTTTTTTTTCTTTCTTTTTTGTATTTTAGGGTTATGGTTTTCCAGTGAACCGACTTTTTGACCTTTTATTTGAAATAAGAGATCAATACAATGAAACACTGCTTAAGAAATGGTCTGGAGTTTTCAGGTTAGTCTAAGCCATGGTGCCTTAATGTAATGAGTAGGTTTGTCAAATTCACGTGTAATTGATTTTGCTTATAGCAATAAAAATGCTTATAATCATTTTTTACTGTGGTAAAATACACATATATAAAATTTATCATTTGAACCATTTTTATACAGTTCAGTGATATTAAGTACAGTCACATTGTTGCGAACATCACACCATCTATCTCCAGAACTTTCCATTTTCCCAGATAGAAACTCTGTACCCACTTAATAATAACTCCCCATTTACTCTGTCCCCCAGCCCCTGGCAACCACTGTTCTACTTTGTCTCTAAAATTTGACTGCTCTGGGTACCTCATGTAAGTGGAATCGTGCAATATTTGTCTCTCTGTGTCTGGATCATTTCACTTAGCATAATGTCATCAAGGTTCATCTATGTTGTAACATGTGTCAGAATTTTATTCCCTTTTAAAGCTGAATAATATTTCATTGTTATGTATATACCACATTTTGTTTATTCATCTGTAAGCAAACATTTAGGTTGTTTCTACTTTTTGGCTATTGTGGGTAATGTTGCTATGAACGTGAGTATACGTATATCTATTCTAGTCTCTGCTTTCAAATCTTTTGGGTTTATACCTATAAGTAGAATGCTAAATCATGTGGTAAATATATTTTTAATTTTTTCTGGAACTAACATACTGTTTTCCATAGTGGCCACACCATTTATAATCAATTTTTAATGATACTTACTTTTAATTTTACTATCTGTAAGTTGTTTCCAGTAAATGTTTAGATACCTGTAAGGCTTTAAGTGTTCAAAGATATTCTGTATTAGAGACAGAAATTATAGCTTTTAAATTTTGTTTGGGGAAACTGATTTTTTTTTCAAACAGCCTAACTAAATTAAAAAGCTTAAAGACTCTAAGTAGGAATATTACTTTTGCTTTAACCACTTGCCTGCAGGGCATGGACTAAAGTATTTTAATATTTATATAACTTTGTATTTGACATGAAAAGAAAAAGAGAAATCTGTGCCCTCCCACCCCCTTTTAATTACTAAAAGCTTTCCTTCCTTCCTTTCTCTTTCTCTCTTTTTCTGTTTCTTTCTCTCTTTTTCTCTTTGGAAAAAAAGTCAATTTTGAGGTCTTACATCTAGATTACTCAAAATATAATATAAATAACATGTTGATAATATTTGATGATATTAAAATGAAATATGTTACGTGATTTAATACCAGCTTGGCACTTACCTCATCAGTTTTCAAAACTATGGAAGCTGACCTTGTGAATACTTAATAGAAATATTTTTTAAATGCCTAAGGGGCTCACAAGGTGATACACTACTATTGAAATCAACTAAATAAATTTTTAATTGAGCTTTTTGTATTAACATTCTTTAAGAGTAATATTGTAAGGATGCCATCCCACATGGATAAATGACAATCCTGATGAGTCATATATAACTATCGTCAATATTTTATATTATTTTAAGAATAGAGGTGGTGCTTATTGATAGAGGTGGTAATCTGTAACCTATGATGGTACTTCAAAAAGTTAATGGAAAGATTAGTATTATCTTTTAATTCTATTTTCCTGTGAATTTTTTGAAGTACCCTCATATATGAGGGGCCTTTGAAAGTTCATGAAAATATTCATATTATCTTTTAATTCCATTTTTCCATGAACTTTTGAAGTACCCTTGTATGCTGTGATATATTGTGATATACCTTTATTTATATAAAACCTTGACAGAGTTGATGTTATTTTCTTGGCCTCTTCAGGAGGGTGTATAAGTTTTTACAGTTATCAATAGATTGAACCGAGCCAGCTCTTCTCTCTTATCCATCTTAAGACTTCTAGTAGTGAAATTGCTCCCCAAGATTGGGGAAACCATGAGGTGTTGTTTTCTCTCTGGGAAGCTAATGGGTTCGTTCAGATAGAGATAGGATTAACTTTATCCTCCATAGTAGTAGTGGAGGAGAAGAAATGATAGCATGTCAATTATAATACATAATTCCCAAATATATTTTGATTTCTGCTTTCAACACTCTTCTAGATCATGCTTTTTGCCTAAATTTTAAAGAAGTGGCAGAATTTAAGCTTTGCTTTTCCCTTACCTGTGTATTCAAATATTTTACTAGTAATCATGTGACAACCTAACAATTAAATAGAGGAAAAAATAAAAGTTATTTGTACTGAATAATTAAAACTTGGCTACAGCCATGATAAAATTTATAACCTGCTACTGTATTTTGTTTGTGTGTGGTCTCTCTCACTATATTGTGAGCACCAATGTTTTATTTATTTTTATATTCTTTTTTTGTATACAAGAGCTTTTATTCATTTATTATTTTAATTGACATAATAATTGTATATATTTATGGGGTACGTGTGGTGTACTGGAATGGCTAAATCAAGCTAATTAACATATCTATCACCTCACATGCTTATTTTTCTGTGGTGCAAACATTAAAATCTACTCTCTTTGCAATTTTGAAATATACATTAACTATTATTAACAGTTGTCTCCTTGCTGTGCAGTGCATCTAAGAAACTTATTCCTCTTGCAAGGGTTCAGATCTCCATACCGGCACAGCCACAAAAACAAAACAAAACAAAAAACCTTATTCCTCCTGTCTAACTCAAACTTTATACCCTTTGACCAACATCTCACCATTCCTGCCCCCCACTGCACCACCTTCTGGTAACCACCATTCTACTCTCTACTTCTATGAGTTCAACTTTTTAAGATTCTGCATGTAAGTGAGATCATGGAGTATTTGTCTTTCTATGCCTAGCATATTTCACTTACCATAATGTCTTCGAGGTTCATCAGTGTTGTTGCAAATAACAGAATTTCTTTTTTTAAAGCTAAATAGTATTCCATCCTGTATATATACCACATTTTCTTTATCCATTGATGGACACTTTGGTTGCATATCTTGAATTGTGAATAATGCCGCAGTGAACATGGGAATGCAGATATCTCTTTGATATGCTGATTTCAGTTCCTTTGGACATATAACTAGAAATGGGATTACCAGATCATTTGGTAGTTCTGTTTTTAGTTTTTTTGAAAAAACTCCATGCTATTTTCCATAATGGTTGTACTAATTTTTGTCCACCAACAGTGTACAAGAATTGCCTTTCTCCACATCCGATCATTTGGTAGTTCTGTTTTTAGTTTTTTTGAAAAAACTCCATGCTATTTTCCATAATGGCTGTACTAATTTTTGTCCACCAACAGTGTACAAGAATTGCCTTTCTCCACATCCTCGCTAATACTTTTGTCTCTTTTATGATAGCCATTCTGACAGATGTGAGGTGATATCTCGTGTTTTTAATTTGCATTTGCCAGATGATTAGTGATGTAGAACATTTTTTCATATACCTCTTGGCCACTTGTATGTCTTCTTTTAAGGCATGTCTATTCAGATTCTTTGCCCATTTTTTAATTGAGTTACTTGTTTTCTTGCTATTGAGTTGAGTTCCTTATGTATTTTGGATATTAATGCCTTATCAGATGTACCAGATGTATACCAACAAATATTTTCTCTCAATCCATAGATTATTTCTTCATTCTTTTGTTTCCTGTGCTGTGCAGAAGCCTTTAAGTTTTTTTTTTGTTTGTTTGTTTGTTTTTTTAATTATTTTTTTTTTCCTTTTTGTCTTTTTTCGTGACCAGTAACGGGATCGCAACCCTCGGTGTCGCGCCTGCACCGCGACCGGCAACGGGATCGCAACCCTCAGTGTCGCGCCCGCACCACGCTCAACCAGTGAGCGGACGGTCTCTATATGGGATCCGAACCCTTGGCGGGAGCGCCGCCGCGCTCCCAAGCGCCGCACTCTACCGAGTGCACCACCGGGCCAGCCCAGAAGCCTTTAAGTTTGATGCAATCCTATTTGTCTACTTTTGCTTTTGTTACCTGTGCTTTTGGAGTCATATCCGAAAATCATTGTCCAGACCAGTGTTGTGGAGCTATTTTTATATTCTTGTTTATATAGTATAAACAAGTATAGTGCCTTGCACAGAGTAGGAGCACAATATGTGTTTATATAAGTTGGTTCTGTAAACAGATAACTTCAAGACTACATTATCATTTTCAGAATTTTAATGTGCCATTCATTAAATTATCTCTCCTTGCATAGTTACTGGTTCTCTGGCATTTGATAGAGTTGTTTATGGTCTTCTAGTTGTTTCTTTCCCTGTAACTTGCCTTTTAGCCTTTATTTATTTTTTTTCCTTTTTGTCTTTTTTACTGACTGGTAACGGGATCGCAACCCTTGGTGTCGCACCCGCACCAGGGACTGGCAACGGGATTGCAACCCTCGGTGTCGCGCTTTTCTTTTTTGTCTTTTTTACTGACCGGTAACGGGATCGCAACCCTTGGTGTCGCACCCGCACCGGGGACTGGCAACGGGATTGCAACCCTCGGTGTCGCGCCGCGCTCAGCCAGTGAGCGGGAATCGGTCTCCACATGGGATCCAAACCCTCAGCGGGAGCGCCGCCGCGCTCCCAAGTGGCGCACTCTCCAGTGCGCCACCGGGCCGGCCCTTAGCCTTTATTTTTAAACACTATTAGAATGAAATACAATTAGTGGAAGCTTCCTACTGTATTTTATCTTAACTACTTTGTGTGCCACCATGATTTATAAACCTGTTTATTTCCAGTCTCATCAAAACCCCTGAGCAAATTTACAAACCAGGTATCATCCACTACCCAAACCGTATCCTTCTCTTGTATTCCTTACCTAGGCAAATGCCTCTGATGAGATGAGGTGTACACCATTTTTCCATTTTCCCTGTCTAGAAACCACAGATTCATCATGATACACTTACCCTCACAATGTCATTTAATTTTTAGGTCCTATGTATTCTACTTCTTAAAAGCTGTTAATTATGCTACTGTCTTTCTGACCCCACTATTAGACTAGACTAGAAAACTAAAACTGAAATGCTAAGAGGATGTAAAACAAACTAGAAGAAAGAGGAGATTGCACATGAATTTTGAGGGATGAGACTTATTTGATGTTGAATTTTAGAATTCTGGATGGTTAGGCAGTATTTTCCTTTTCGGATTTTCAATTGACAAATAAAAAATGCTTCTGTAATAGTTGTGTTTTTAAGGTATTGTCTTAACACTCTAATGATATGTTTTATAATAAGTTTTCAATTCTCCTTTCTTAACAGGGACATTTTTGAAGAAGATAATTATAGCCCCATCCCTGTTGTCAATGAAGAAGAATATAAAATAGTCATCAGTAAATTTCCCTTTCAAGATCCAGAGCTTGAAAAGGTACAAATTAGTTTTTAATTCAAGAATTTTCTTAAAAATAAATTCATAATATTTATTACTACATAAAGTTAACCTGACACTACAAGGAAGAATGGCTTCTTTGGGGGCAATTTTTTTGTTGCGTTATTGAGAAAATTAATTATGTTTCATTAACTTTTAAAGATTATGTTATTATTACTACTGCTTTTTCTATTTTGATGAAGAAGGGAATTTCCTGGGTGTACTAGAAGCAGTTGTCTCAAATGTTAGGTGGATTCCCAGGGCAGGTGTTACTAATGTTGGGTGGATTCCAAATTAGATGTAGTAAATGTCAAGTAAATTACAGCAATAAGGATATATTCTAGGGGAAGAGAGGAGAATTTCTTTGAAATGTCCATCACTTTGGAAGATCTTATTTTGTGGCTTTTTAAAAGAAGTATACTTCTTCAAAAAGTTCATCTTGGTTAAGTAAGAGATGTTTGAAGGCAATAGCTACCTGTAGATTTCTTTCTGAAGTAGGAATATATATTTTTGGAGTCAAGATGTCTGAACAAAAGACAGGGTAGAGAAAGGAAGTAGACCAGCATGTAGGATATTCTGGGAATACACGTGCACACGTGTGTGTACAGACACAAGTATACACACATGTACCTATCCCGTATCTCTAGGTAGAATCAGATCTCATGAAAAAAGAATATCGTATTTCTTGTAACTGTCACCTTTTCAATTCTCTTTATTCTTGTTTTTTCTCCTTACTCTTCTTTATTATTTTTTCAACTCTTTATAATTTAGTCCTTTTCTATGTTTTTATTCTTTCAGAATGAGCAAGACTAAAATCTAAGTTGTGTGAATTGTGACTGTAAATTTTTGTTTTATAGTTTTATACATAAACTAAGCATATAATGTGGAATAGTCACTAAGTATGGAAATAAGTAATTAAATATGTAGCTTTTTAGTTTATAGCTAACACTGCTGTTGCATGTACCTAATATGTACAAAAGACCATAATAATTATAATAATTCTATATTTTTTAAAACCCTAATCAAAGTTGTCCTTGTCAAGAAATATTACAAGAATGTTCTCCATCTCATGGCTTGTTTTTTTTTGTTTTCATTTCTGGCAATGAGTTTGTTTAGGCTGTAGCATCTGTATAAGGAGCACTGGACTAGGTCTGGATTCACATGCTAGCTCTGCTTGTGCTTATTATGGGCAAGTGACTGATCCTATTTGGGCATTTGTGCCTCTAAGTAATCTCTGATGTCCCTTCCAATATGGGTTTATAATTAAAAGGAAGTTTAACTTTGCTTGTAGGGAGCTTCCAGTATATGCAGTACCTCTAAGGGTTGAGTGCCTTAGAAGCTGTATTCATTGGTCCATATATTACTCATTATTAAAAAGAACTACTGTTGGGCCGAGCCCGTGGCGCACTCGGGAGAGTGCGGCGCTGGGAGTGCAGTAGCGCTCCCGCCGCGGGTTCGCATCCTATATAGGAATGACTGGTGCGCTCACTGGCTGAGCGCAGTGCGGCCAGTCTCAAAAAGGACAAAAAAAAAAAAGAACTACTGTTAATAAGGCAAAGCCACATGGAAAATTTAAATGTGACAACTTAAAAATGAATACTATAGATTATTTAGTAACAGTCTCTTGGTCATGTGTGTATACTTATTTTTTTTTTATTTAAGTATAATTTTTAATTAAAACTATTAGAAAAGATATAAAACTATCTCTCAAATAACGAGTTATTTTCAGCATAAATCAGGAATGGGAAAGGAGTATGACTGAACATACATGCAAAAATATTCTGTCCTTTTGCACATAGCTATGCTAATTTGACTAGAACAATTTGGCTAAAATGAGAACATATTCATAATCTGTCTTAAAAATCATTAAAATAAATTCTCAAAGCTTCTATAACTCAGACATTTACTGTTAGGTTCATTTTTCTGTAAAGCATAAAGTGGAGGGGAGTTAGTATTTACATTGTTATCAGGTATTTCTTAAAAATAGTAACTCTTTACTTGATTTTTGTTCTATTCTTAATTGATTCTCTAAATTTGGAATGGATTGAAACAACCAGTTCTGGAGAGACATGGCTCTCTATGAATGTTTTCACTACCAGCTATTTCCTTTTGCTGGAGGTCCCTAAGTATACATTAGCTCATTCAAGTATTTGTCATCTACCTACTGTGTACCAAACACTGTGCTGTGTGCTAGATTTCCAGTCTCTGTTCTCAAGGAGCTTATAGTCAGGTGAAGGTAGATAAAATAAACAGGAAATTACAATTCACAAGAGTTGGCACTACTCCAGATACAGGAAGCAGCATGCAATAAGGCTGTAATTCTATAGTATGAAGAACAGTGTTAATGAAGTATAAGAGGTGAAGATCAAGAAATGTAATTGGAGAAATAGAAAGGGCAGACCATGACGCCTTTATAGACAGTGTTAGAGAATTTAACCGTTATCCTGAGGGCTATGAGAAGCCACCAGAGGGTTTTAAGTAGTAAAAATATAATCAGATTTGGGTGGTAGCATTCACTATGATAGGAAACACAAGAGGAGCAGGGAGGTCTCCAATGGGTAGTTAGATATATGGATTTGGAACTTCAAGAGGAAGATTTGGTCTTGGATTTGTAGATTTGGGAGATATTGGTACTGTTATGGTGATTGAAATTATGAGATCATCCAAGGGAATATGTAGAAAGAAAAGAAGATTTCGGATAGAACCCTAGGCATAGCAATAATTAAAGGATTGGGAGATATTGGTACTGTTATGGTGATTGAAATTATGAGATCATCCAAGGGAATATGTAGTAAGAAAAGAAGATTTCGGATAGAACCCTAGGCATAGCAATAATTAAAGGTTGGCTAGAGGAAGAGAAGTAGAGCAAGTAGAGAAATAGGAAGAAAACCAATATGGGGCAGGATACCAAGGAAGGAAAGATCACTTAAGAATCAGAAGGGGGCCAACTTTGTCAGATGCTTCAAAGAAGTCAGGTAACATGAGAATTGGAAAAGTCCGCTGGATTCAACAACGAGGAGGTCATCAGTCACCTTGGTGAGGTACTTTCACTGATGTAATAAGCTTGGAATGAATGTAAATAGAAATGTACATTAGACTTCATGAAGTATAAATGAAGGGCTTTGTGTAAAAATCTTGGAGGGAGTTTACCTTTTGGAGACTGAGAATTTTCAAATGGCCAGTGGCTGATAAAGCAGTTTCACCAAGAAGTACACTATAAATCATTGGTTGCACACCAGTGTTTGATGGTGTAGTGGGTCAGAAAGCTTCTGTAAGGTATTTTAGGAGTTATGGAATAAACTGAATATCTTCTTGAATTGGCATAAAGCCTTCACTGAAGGTAAGTGAAGGGAGTCTTAGAATTATTTGATGACTCTGAGCCAGGAAGCTGGCCTATAACTTTCATAGCTGCCCTAGATTCTTATATTATGGATACCAAGAAGTAGACAGCTAGGCATGTCCTGCAGAATGCTTATCATCAGAACACACTGGAGTTATTGATATGTGCTTTCTCTGGAAGTCTAATAATATGATTTAAGATAATGTGATTTAAGAAGTGGGTTAAAGGCTGCATTGTTTTTTCAGAAATATTTTGGTTTTCTTTAAAATATCAAAAATAATGTAGAAATATATCAGAGTTTTTGTTGCGGGTATATACAATAAATTCAAATGTGAAGTCAATTTAATTTTTATATTTTTCGGTGACAAGAATTTTTTTTCTAAGATTTCAAAAGCAATATTAATTATCTCTTTCTACAGCAGTCTTTCCCAAAGAAACTCCCCATGTCTCAGTCAGTGCCTCATATTTACATTCAAGTTAAAGAATTTATTTACGCCAGCCTTAAATTTTCAGAGTCACTACACCGGAGGTAAGTTTACTAAAAGGAAATGTGTCTTTATCATTACTGTTTTTATGAAACATTAACATTTATTTTCATGCTGTGACTCTTTAATGGATTATTATCTCATTGGAAAGGCTTACATATTTTGGTGACATTTAGGGTTAAGTTGCTATAAATCTAATATTGTATTTTTTTACTTTTCATTATGAAAATCTTTAAATGCACATGAAAGTAGAGATAATTTGATAGGGAACTTCTGTGTTCTCAGCATCTAGATTTAACAGTAATAAATATTCTGCCATATATTCTTTATTTTTTGATGAAGTATTTTAAAGCAAATTTTAGAAATAATCACCTTTTACCCCTAAACACTTCAGTATGTGTTTCTAAAAACAATGAGGACATTTTATTATTTAACCACATTTAATTAAATTAACATGATTCCATGATATCAACTCTGTGCATATTGATATTCTCTCCTCAAAATGTCTTTTTAAAGTTGGTATGTTTGAATCAGGGTCCAAACAATGTCCACACCTTGCATTTGCTGTTAAATTTGTTTCAACATTGTCCCATTTTTACCTATGACATTGACTCTGATATTGTCAACAGTTTTTTTTTCCAAATAATCTTGAAGTGAGGATTCAGATGGAATTAATAGAATAAATAAGGAATGCTATAGCAAATTGACATTATACTCAGTACTAGAGAGCAGTATAACAGCTGTTGATAGCTATAGCCAACTTTATTTTATAGGCAAGAAAATAACAATTTATCTGGTGTGATGAAAGTAATACCCTGCATTTATGGAGATAGGATCCCTGTTTGCTGATAAGGAAAGGGCTCAGAGAGGCTACATCATTTATTCAGAATGATCCAGCTAGTTAGTTTGAGAACCAGAATGAAAGAGCAGGTCTTTTGACTGCCCTATCAGTGAAAGTGCCAGGTACCATGTCTGGCATATAAGGAACAATCAGTTAATGGTAGCAGAACATTAATCGTTATGCTACATCTTGTTTCAGCTACCTAGATGGACCTGTGGTATAGTTGTATGTTATATTTCTGATTGTGAACACTCTCTGGAAGACAGAGTGGTGATATGGCTTTCATAATGCTTCCCTCTCTGAAATCCATTCTGAATTTGTATACTGAATAGCAGAAAATGTCCTCTTTCAGTGGGAAACTGTTGTGAATTTTAAGTCACAAAAAGGCATGGAGGCAGTTCAGATATAACAGTTATTTATTTTTCAAGCTGAAACAGCAAGAACAATGACAGTTGTATTATTTTATTGTATCTGTTTCTTATTGTAAGGTACTACTGTTTTGGATTTAAACAAGGTAAAATAAATGGAAGAAGAAACATGTTTTGTGCCAGGGTAAGAATAGCTGATTTTAAGTCTTACAGTGTTTATTAGGGATTCTTTAAAAGATTCTTTAATTCCTGTTCATGAAAAATATGAATGGGAGAGGAAAGGGAAAGAAAGGAGGGCAAATACCTAACACATAGCATTGCTGTGCTACGTGGTTCTCATAAGCTAGTGGTTCTCAAACTGTAGTCCCCAGACCAGTGGTCTTAGCATCACTTGGGAAATTGTTAGAAATACAACCTGAGACCTACTGAATTAGAAACTCTGAGCGTGGGGCTCAGGGTTTTATCAGCTTCTCTGGGTGATTCTGAGGCATGCTAAAGTTTAAGAACCACTGCTTAAGCTTCGTCATATTGTACCAGCCTCTTATAACAAAGTTGTCTACAGATGTATTTTAAAGAAGGACATTAACTTTAGATAGTAGAGGTCATATAGTACAAAATAAGACACACACAATATAATCCAGCATTTAAAAAGCAACTGATACAAATGAATATTAACTGAAACAGAATAAAGTATGACTCCTTTTACAATGGTAGGTTTCAATAGTGGAGTTACATTGGGGCTTGAATAGTTGAGAGCCACCAATAATTTATGCCTATCTTCTTTTTCATTTAACATTCTACAGTTCTGATCTAAACAGAGGCAGGATCATGCAGTGGTTAAGAATATAAGCTTTAGGGCCGGCCCGGTGGCGCACTGCTACAGTGCGCCGCTTGGGAGTGTGGCGGCGCTCCCGCCGAGGGTTCGGATCCCACATACAGACCTGCCGCTCACTGGCTGAGCGAGGTGTGGGCGCAACACCGAGGGTTGCGATCCCGTTGCCGGTCCCGGTCCGGTACGGGCGCGACACTGAGGGTTGCGATCCGTTGCTGGTCACGAAAAAAGACAAAAAGGAAAAAAAAAAGAATATAAGCTTTAGACTTTAACAGACCTTATTTTGAGTCTTGATGCTGGCACTCACTAGCTGTAGTAGGATCTTGGGCAAGTTATTTAATCCTTTAAACTATCTCATCTATAAAGTGAGGGAAATAATTCATAGAGTGGTTGTAACAATTAAATGAGGTAATGCATGTGTATAAAGTACTCAGTATAGTGCCTGGCACATGCTAGACTCATAGGGCTTAGGAGAGGATGGGATGCTACAATATTCGATGTGAGACTGCAGCTTGGAGTGTTTATAGTTTATTTTGTAAGTACTGGGGAACTGTTGAAGAATGTTTAAGGAATGACATGATTAAAGTTATATTTCAGAAAGTTTACTCTGGCCTCAAAGTGGATGATAGATTGGAGGAGGATAAAAATAGTAGTCATGTTGAGGAGGTGAAGGCAGTAGTTTGAGACAGAAGTGAAAAAAGATGGAAATAGGATCAGTGATGACGAAGAGGAAGGAAAAAGTAGTATAGAGAAGCCTGAAGTTATAGTGCTTATGAATTGTGGACTTAAGTTTGTTTATTTACTCCCAAATAATAAGGATTCCAGTTGCAATTAATCATCTTTGAAAACATGAATGAATGCATTCATCCATTATTTTTAGGTAAACATATACAAGTGAAAGGGGGAAAGAAAAAGTCTTTCCTTAAAACTCATCCTGTGACTTGGCTAACCCTAACCCTAACCCTAACCCTAATAAAATTATGTTTGAGAATTATTTTTAAAGTTGCAGTCCTGAATCTATAACATTAGTTCCCTTTACCTTTTCTGTTAAGTATAAATTACTTTAATATTCTCTAAATTGGTAGTGTGTGCAGTTTGCGTGTTCTAACAAGTACTTTGTATCACCTAATCTAAATGTTGATTCTTGAAACACTGATGTCTAATTAAGATATTGTTAAATTTGCAGAAAAGTGTAGAAATTTATCATTTTAGAATTAACTTTTATTTATAGAAGAGAGACAATGACTCATTAATCATTATTTGACTTTTTACTCCATTTACATATAACACTAAAGGTAAAAATCATTAATCATATTATTATATATAATATTCCCTAATGTCTCACTACAACTAGAATTGCTACATCAGTTCTGATTCTTTTGTATATAAATGCCTGGCATTCTAAAAGGTAAATGTTGTAGGCTAATGCTATAGCAGAAAAGATTGTCAATTTTTTCCTTCTGTCTTTGATAAAAATATTTTGTCACTTTTATTTAATGTCCAGTGGTTCCAGAGAACTCTCTATGATCATAAGTTATCCATTCAAAAGAGAATTTATGCTGACATTTAAAAATGCATGCTTTATTAAATATACTGGCTACTTTCATTTTGTTAATGAGAGGACTTAAGAATTCTGAATATGGAGACAGATTCAGCAGTTAATTAAAAGATATATAAATCTAAATTTACTCAAGATTATCAGTTTTCTGACATATATTTTTATTCTTAAAACCTATGTCTGTAATGTAAAATTGAGCTATTAGAGTTGCTATGTTTTTGTCATTATAAAGTTATGGAAAAAAAATCACTTTCTGTGTTTAAAGCTCTTGTTTAATTGTTTAAACATGCATGGGTACTTCAAAAAATTATCTTAAAGCAAATTTTAAGTGTGTTGGAAAAGAAGGTTGGCAACCACTGCCCTTTTATCAGGGTGAGTACATTGTTTGTTCTAGGGACACTGTTGACCAGAAAGTTTTCTATCTGAGCGTTTAATGCCAAGTAACCCTGAAGCCTACTGATGGTCTGCTCATTTCCTGGGAAAGTCTTGATTCAAGATATTAAAAAATCAGAGAGAAATATTCTCCTTGGGCTTGCTGGAATTAGGATTAGCAGAAATTGTAAGGATTGCCTACATTATAAATGGAGAACAATAGTGTAGTAGTGAGAATTATTCATGTTTTGTCTAATCTTACTCTGTTTGCATTTTTAAAGTAAATATAATCTAGTAAATATTTGTGCTTCATAAATTTTTAACAGTAATATTTTAATAAAAAAAAAAAGTAAAAGAGCACCAAATTTTAGCCTATTTCAAAGGAGTAGTTGTCAACTGGGGATAATTTTGGTACCTCTGCACCCCCTGCACACACATTTGGCAACATCTAGAGACATTTTTGGTTGTCACAACTTGGGGGAGGGATGCTATTTGGAACTAATGGGCAGATGCCAGACATCCTACAATGCACCAGACAGCTCCGACAACAAAGAATTATACAGCCTAAAATGTCACTAGTGCTGAGATTGAGAATTCATGGTCTAAGGACTGCCTAAGTGTTTTGATAATGAGGCTATCTCCAAGAAATCACTATTTACTTAAACTGAAGGCTTAGTAGTTAGGAAAAAAGAATACGCTTTTTAGTACTAGTTTAGCAATCTTTAGGATGTTAAGAAACATTACAGGTTTTTTTTTTTTTTGGACAAAATTAAAATTAGTTTATGGCAATTTATTTATTTGAATCTCTTTTAAAAACTTGAAATAGATATCTTAGTATATTAAAAATTAAATCTGGTAATTATATCTAGATAGAGCTCATATCAATTTGTATTTTAAAAGGGGTAATTTTTAGCTGTAGTTGTGTATGAAATGTCTTTCAAAATGACTGTCCTATGATGGAGACATAATTTAAGAATAATTTTATTTCCTTATATTAAGTACCCCATGTTTCTTCTGTAGTGGTTAATTAAATACATTTAAATCATGCCATTAATGAACATTCTATTTTATGGAAAATGTCCCTTTTGTGCAGTTAAATTGATTTGAACTTTGTGATTTAGTAAGTATAGGTCATTGTAATTTATTTAAAGATCTAAAAGAATGACTTGGAGCAAATTATTTTAGTAAATTGTGTTAAATTATTTAGGATGTTAACTGACTGTACCCTTGTGGAAAGCTTAATAATATCAATCTTTGTTTTTAGCTCAACAGAAATAGATGATATGCTTAGGAAATCAACAAATCTTCTGCTGACCAGAACTTTGAATAGCTGTTTACTGAATCTTATTAGAAAACCTCATATAGGTTTAACAGAGGTAGGTTAAAAAGATACACATAGCCAAATGTTTCATTATATGAGATAATCATTATAAATTAAATTGTTGCTGAACATCCGTCTGTAAAACTAGCTTTGTATTTTAAGTTTATTAATATAAGCAAATTTGATTTAAAATAAAAGCATCAATGTAAATTCAAGAAGTGTGAAAGAAGAGGGTTTACATGGGGAATAGTAGATAATGGAAGATGTTAGAAAATATATTTAGATTTCTGATTACCTTTGCATTAAATGTCAGAGTCCTTACCTACATTTTTAGATTTCTGATTACCTTTGCATTAAATGTCAGAGTCCTTACCTGGATATATTTTGTGTTTTCTAGCTAGTGCAAATCATCATAAACACAACACACCTGGAACAAGCTTGTAAATACCTTGAGGACTTTATAACTAACATTACAAATATTTCTCAAGAAACTGTACATACCACAAGACTTTATGGACTTTCTACTTTTAAGGTATGTAAAAATCTCACCAAAAGTTTTCATTTCAATCACTGTAAACAAACTTTAAAAAATTAAAGACAATTTTTATTATATGTGTGATTCCATTATTTTCCAAAAAATTGAGAGTTAGAAGTAATCATTGTCAACAGTGAGCGGATAAATGTCAGTTCCTTTCTGGCACTTAAAACGTCTTATTAAAATTAAGAAAAGTTATATTGATTTTCTATACTGTATTACATTTTTTCATATTTTGACAATTTAAGGTAGTGCTGAATCGGTCTAACTGAATTTTTATCAATATTATAAAGTTTAATAATTTTATATGAGTGTATGTTTGTAAATTAAAAAGTAAGATAAATAAGTGTAAGATTTGCTTTTTATTTTTTATTGGCTCTGATCTGAAGAAAAATAAATATATCATTGAAGTCCTACTTCTTTCTGGATGAAAAGATTTTTGTTTATGTAATCCATGGGATATATCAAAAAATTAATTAATGGTATTTTAAGCAGAATACAAGATTAGATAATTTTATAAAAGTTTGTATTACAAAACTATTTGATTATTTTATTGATTTGGAACCATATGGATGAGTTTATATGACTAGACCGGCATAGAGTAGTGATATAAATCTCCTTCCGTTGAATATTTTGTTAAACTACTGGCAAACCACTTACTGATCCGTTATCTGTGAAATGGACTTGCTAGTTTAGCCACATAGCTCTTTCTAAAAGTTTCCTATTAAAAAGAATTCTCATCTTCCAACTTTTGCTGTTATGAATTACCCAACTTACCTTCCAAAATTATATTGTAATAATTTATATTTTAAAAATTCAGTGTACTTCTGTTTAGAATTTCCTGATTTAGTGTTAACACTTAGCTAGACATAGAAAGTGTGAAGTCCATAAATAACCCTGGGTTCCTAAAATTATCTGCCTGGCCCCAAATCTAATTCTCCTCTGGTGACTTCTGAGCTCATATAGTCATCCTGATACATAAGGCACAAATGCAGAATGATACCTAATTCAGTGGACTTACAAAGTTAGTTATTAAAACTGAGACAGAAGCCTTTAAATTTCTGAATTCATTTATTCAGATAATACAGTACAGTAATTAAGGGCCTGAACTCTGGTATTAGACCTGCTGTGTGACCTTGAGCAAGTTCTTTAATATTAATCATTCAAGTCTCACATCATTTCTCTACTTTCTCTTTATTGCTCTGTCTTTATATCCACGTGTTACTCATACCCTGTCTAGAAGGGATTTGATAAGATTTGGAGTTGTAAACATATTTAACTGTGAACATTAATATGCTTACTCTTCGATTAAAACATGAATTGCCTTGACATCTGGTATTTCTAGGGATCTTCAAGCAACTTTTCTTATCAGGTATAAGCAAAGAACCAAAGACACTGGAATATAATGCTCTTAGATTAGGGGATTTTGGAACTGTATTTCTCAAAATCTGCTTGTTGGGAGAGAATGTTTAGAAATGTTAACTCTGGTCCACCGTTCCAGTTACCACAACTGCCATTACATACCCCTTGGTGGGTTTCCTTGGAAATCAGGAGATCAAGTTCCGCCTCTGCAAACAGCAGGGCATTCTTGTTTTTTTGTTGTTGCTTGGTTGGTTTTTGTTTTGTTTTTATACAGAACTCAGTAAATGCCTTTCTGCTTAGTAATATGAGAAGAAGAGCTGTTTTGAGCTTAATATCTGAAGGTCAAGTGTTTTTCCATCCTATTTTTGGTCTCTTTCAAAAGAAATTTGTCTTAAACTGTGACATGAGGAAGCACTTCAACAGGGAGAATTGTTAAATCAATATTAAAGTGAATTACTGAGGGACATTGGGGAATTTCCATTTATAGTAAATAGTTAGTCTGTTGCCTTTTTTGCAGAGGTGATTGAAGTACAGTCTTGATTACAGATATTAGATTGGATTGCTTAGTTATCCTCTTAGCCTAATTCTTTTCAGTCCAGTGACCCTACAAGACATGTTCCTATTTAGTTGCTTAATGATTATGGAAATAAGAACTTACATCATCCTTTACCCATACTTCTATTTGCTTCCCTTCCAAAAAGCACATATGCACACACAGAGTGCCTGATCTTATGTCATATAAGTTTACTTTTTGAAGTAGTGCTTAGACACCTTGTTAGCTTGCCTTTCACTTTGTTAAATCTGTGAGTGATACAAAAGAGGTACAAGTGGTTCCTACCTTAAAGCAGTACCTCAACTTTTTGAAATTAATTCAGACCCATGTAGAGAGCTACTTAACGTTAATACAAGACTTATCCTAACTGAAAAATTTGCGTTTGATAGAGGGAAAAAGTGAGAGTATCATTCCCTTTTTAATCTGTGTGGTAGAGAAATAGACATTTCTTTCTCTTTGGCATCAGGGATCCTTAATTTGGCTCCAGTGAACTTCTCCAACTTGACTCCCTGACGAGTTCTTTCCTTTTGAGTCCTGGCAGTGATTTTAACTGCAAGTGCCTAGAAGAAATATATTTCTGATTCTCTTTCTAATTTGCCTTTTTAAATCTGCTAATGACTAGGTAGCAAAGCTTTTTGGAATTATGGTTAAAGTAACAGTAGTAAATTGTCTCTGATCAAGGGCTTGAAATTCTGTTTCCAAGGAGTGAGGACGTGGACTTTTAAAAAATCTTTTTTATTGGGGTATAACATACATATATACAAGTATACAATTAGTAAATATATATAGCTCAATTAATTATAAAAAAGTGAATATAGACTTCCAGTTTCCAGGATGTAAGGAGATTGGAATAATCACTCCATCATAACAACAAGTAAAAAGCTGAACAAACTGAAAAATCAATAACTCTTCTTAGAGCTGTCAGAGAAGTGAGGTCATAGAGTAGACTGGTGCCCCCAGCGTTCACAGGTGAAAACAGAGACTCACAACTTACTGAAGCAAAAACCCACAAGTAGAAACCTCTGTGGAAACCAATAGTGCGGTGGCAGACAAACCTGAACTAATTGACGAGTTGCTGGAGGCTCAGAGTGGACAAGTCTGAGAGATAAAAACTCCAGGCATCCTGGTCTTAGGGGAGGCCCCACACTTTTATGTTGCTTTTTTTTTCCCCTTGGAGCTCTACCAGGTTCTAACAGTGAAGACTGGAGACAAATCCCCTCAAGCTTCTGGCAGGAGAAGGGAGAAAGAACCATTTTGAAATATGCAGAGAATTCTGTTTTTTAAGCATTCTGTTCTTCTCAATAAGGCCATTCCTCAAGAGAAACTATTTACCAGAGCCTAAACTATTGGGGTTTTATCAGAGTGTAACTGACTTGTGAGAAGGCAAATACCAGTCTCTAGTCTGCTCTAGCCTTCCACGTGGGGGAAGGGAAATAGCCTACTGTAGCCATGTTGTTCCACCTCAGGGGACAAAAAACTAAGAAGCACTTGTGAAGTTCATAGCTGAGGAACACAGGCTTACTAAAAGACTGAGACCTAACCATAGGACTATGAAACACTTCTCCCCCCGTGCCTTACTACCACATCACTAAAGGTCTGTTTACTTCAGTTGCTTTCACCCAGTTACACCATGTGCAGCTATCAAGAAAAAATTACAGAGCATGCTGAATGGCGGAAAGATCTGTTCGAAGAAATAGAGGAAACTCAGATATGGCAGGGATGTTGGAATTATTAGACCAGGAATTTTTAAAAACTATGATTAATATGCTAAGGACTTTAACAGGTAAAGTAGACAACATGTAAGAACAGATGGGTAATTGTATTAGTTCATTTTCTGTTGCTTATTACAGAATGCTTGAAACGGGATAATGTAAATACAGTTTTGGAGGCTGGGAAGTCCATGGTCCAGGGGTGCATGTGGTGAGGGCCTTTTTCTGGATGGGAACTCTTTACTGGATCCTTTGGTGACACAGACAATTACATGGAGAGAATGGCAAGAGCTCTTTCATGTGCTCAACTTATAAAGCCGCCAGTCCACGCCCATGACATCCCATTAAACCATCAACCCATTACTCCATGTATGAATCAGTCCATTCACTAGGGCACAGTCCTTGCAACCCAATCACCTCTTAAAGGCCCCATCTTTCAGTACTGCCATAGTCTGATTTCCCACCCTCTTAACTCCATTATAATGGGGATTAAGCTTCAATGAGTATCAAAGGAACATTCAATGCACAGCAGTAAAATGTAAATAGAGAGATGAAAAATCTAAGAAAGCATCTAAAAGAAATACTAGAAATTGAAGACACTAGCAGAAATGAAGAATGCCTCTGATGGGCTGATTAGTAGATCAGAAATGGCTGAGAAAAGAATCTCTGAATTTGAATATAGGTCAATAGAAACTTCCAAAATGGAAAAGCAAAAAGAAAAAAGACTGAAAAAATGTACAGAATATTCAGGAACTGAGACAAATGCAAAAGGTGTAACATATGTGTAATGGTAATACTAGAAGGAGAAGAAAGAGAGAAAGGAACAAAAGAAATATTGAAAGCAATAATGACTGAGAATTTCCCCAAATTAATGTCAGACACCAAACCACAGATCCAGGAAGCTTGGATAACAACAAGCAGGGCAAATGCCAAAAAACAAACAACAAAATGCAAAACGATACCTAGGTATATCATATTTAAACTGCAGAAAATTAAAGAAAAAAATTTTGAAAGAAGCCAGAAGAAAAAAAACCTTACCTATAGAGGAACAAAGATAAGAATTACATCCAACTTCTCAGAAACCATGTACTCGAGAAGAGAATGGAGTTAAATATTTAAAGTATGAAGAGAAAAATAATCACCAACCAAGGATTCTGTGCCCTGTGAAATTATTCATCAAAAGTGAATGAAAAATAAATATTTTCTCAGACAAACAAAAATTGAGAGAGCTTGTTTCCAGTCGACCTGCCTCACAAGAAATGTTATAAGGAGTAATAAGATATAAGAAATGGTATAAGATATAGGTAAGAAACTAGGATCTAGATAAAGAAAGGAAGAGCAGCAGAGAAGGAATAAATGAAAGTAAAATAAAG